CCCAGCTGCCTGCCACAGAGTTGCCCTGGCCTCTTACCCACACGCATGTATGTATGAAGGCACATGACATGCTCCTGACCCCGGGGAGAGACACTGCACAATGTCCTCCCTCCAGAAGCCCACTCCACGCAGAAGCAGGGCACATCTCCCTCCCTCCTCTCCCCACACCCACACTATATACAGCACAGGGGCATGGGTGCAGTCCCGGGCCAGCTCACACTCCCGGGGATAGCAGGACATGAAGGTGTGCCATCTTCGCCAGATTTCACTCACTGTGTCCCCAGGGATAACAGAGACCATTTCTGGTTTCTTCACAGCTGCACCAGCTGCGAGTGCAAGGCGCACCACCCCGTCCAGGACAGCCTCCTGCACCCTGAGCTTCTCCTCCCCCTTTCTCCCCTTGCCTCCCCCTTCCAGGTCCCTCTTCCCAGGTATCCCCTCCCCTCTCTCCTCCCATCTCCCACTTCCTTTCCCAAGTCTCACCAGGGTTTCATTCCCCTCCCCCCCAGTTTTGTGCAATAAACACAGTTTGCATTTATGAAAATACATGTATTTTATTTGACATTAAGAAGGGGGGCTAGGGAGGGGTAAGTGGAAGGACGTGAAGGAGGAATGAGGCACAAGCCCCCAGTGAGGCAGATCGGGGAGGCTATGAGTGCTCCTCAGGGTGGACGCTCTCCCGCAGGGCTTCCTGGATACTGACAGCCACCCAATGGATGTCCCGGATGGTGCAGGTGCAGCCAGGCTGATGGCAACGCGTCCACAAGACGCACCAGAGTGCCTAGGAATAGAGTTTTATGGTGTCTCGAGTGAGGGCAACCAAAGCAGTCAGGGTATGTCTCCACTACAAAGTAAATTCGAACTAACAGCCGTTAGTTCGAATTAACTTTCGTAGGCGCTACACATGCAAACCACTAGTTTGAACTTAATTCAAACTAGCGAAGCGCTTAATTCGAACTAGGTAAACCTCATTCTACGAGGACTAACGCCTAGTTCGAATTAAGTAGTTCGAATTAAGGGCTGTGTAGCCCCTTAATTCGAACTAGTGGGAGGCTAGCCCTCCCCAGCTTTCCCTGATGGCCACTCTGGGCACAACCAGGGAAATTCTTCTGCCCCCCTCCCGGCCCCGGAGCCCTTAAAGGGGCACGGTCTGGCTACGGTGCCCGTGCCAGGTGCAAGCCTGCCAGCACCCA